TCATGTCGGGCATGAGGGTCATCATTTTTTTTGCACATTACTTGAACACGATGGTGAGTGCGGGAGGGGATTGATTGATTGATTGAAATATCATTCGTCACTGATGTTATCCGTGGCCGGAAATCTAACATGGATGGCCATGCTCAGAGTGCAGTGGACGACCCACTGCGCTCCGGTGACAGTGGGTGCACAAGCACACTTAATAAAACAATGACCTCAAGACATTCGGCATATAGCACTGTGGCTTTTAAAAATAAAAGTACACATATATAATAGGCAACGCTTCGGGCAACGATCCCTCTGCATAGCGTATATATCGAGAATCCAGAGGGAAGGAGTGGACAATAAGCGTTTGAGACTGCACTTTACACCATGGGGCCTGATAAGAATTACATTTGAGACTTAGTTAAATATATAAGTATCTTATCAGTAAATGACTCGGCTATGTGTTTTTGGCTCTGGATTTTTTTTTTCTCTTACGGTTCATTTTCTGTAAGGGGTGGACAATCGGGGTGATTAATCTAGGTGGACAATGGGGGTGGTCGATCGAGGTGGACAATCGGGATGGACAATTGAGGTGGTCAATTAGAGTGGAGAATCGGGGTGGACAACTTGATTGACCAATCTTGGTGATGGACAAGGACCCACATATGTAAGGGGGCGCCAAATGATCAATGAGAGGCGGCGATATTTTGCATCTGAACGAGGACACCGCCAGAGACACGGAGAGAGAGACACGGAGAGACAGACACGGGATCGACGGACACACTGAGAGACAGACACGGGGGCGACGGAGACACGGAGAGATAGACACGGGGGCGACGGAGACACGGGGAGAGACAGACACTTGGGCGACGGGGACACGGAGAGACAGACACGGGGGCGACGGAGACACGGGGAGAGACAGACACTTGGGCGACGGGGACACGGAGAGACAGACACGGGGGCGACGGAGACACGGGGAGAGACAGACACTTGGGCGACGGGGACACGGAGAGAGATACACGGGGGCGACGGAGACACGGAGAGACAGACACGGGGGCGACGGAGACACGGAGAGACAGACACGGGGGCGACGGAGACACGGGGATAGAGACACGGGGGCGACGGGGACACGGAGAGACAGACACGGGGGCGACGGAGACACGGGGAGAGAGACACGGGGGCGACGGGGACACGGAGAGACAGACACTTGGTCGACGGGGACACGGAGAGACAGACACGGGGGCGACGGAGACACGGAGAGAGACAGACACAGGGGCAACGGAGACACGGAGAGACAGACAGGGGGGCGACGGAGACACGGAGAGACAGACACGGAACAACAGCGCGACAGGGACACAGTGCTGGACATCTGTGAAAAAGAGCTTTATAGCTCATCGGATTCCTCCAGTATAAATAGATATTCCGATTCAGAGGCACAGTACAGGGACCTCTTTATCACATGCACGTAGCCGTGAAATGTATTTAAGTCTTTATTGCTCTGCTTAAAACACTTAAGAGACTAAGACGTTTAAAAGCAATTGAATACTACCCAACGATTATATGTTCACGCTGCCCGGTCAACACGAACGATAGAACGTAAGTAGCAAAGCGTCGATTAAAATTATGAACTATCCGCATTGGTCATTCACACTCACGACTGATGACAAGAAGAAGAAGAAGACGCACACGCCATAGGCCGACGTTTCTGGCGATTGCCCCTTTTCAGGGAATATAGAGAGAGGGCAGACAGGACGGAGTGAGTGACAGTTGGAAGTCGCACTTCATTTACACCGTGGTGTAATGAAGAAACTAAATCCGTGCAGTTAAAAACATAAAATTGTCACTTGGATAAGTCGAGGAGTAACTGGGGAAATACGGGTATCGAGCGAACGATATTTCTTCATCTAGTTCATACATCTTTGGGGGGAGGGGGAGGATATAATTCCGTCCGTCAACCCGCACGCGTTTACATTGTTTGACGCTTAAAATCACACCCGGGGAAACACGTGTACAACAACAACCACCACCACCACAAAATAACACTCAGCCTTTGTGCATCATACAAACCCCCCCGCCCCCCATCAACAGCTTCTGCACAACTGGCCCGTGGGACTTCGTGTGTCTTCTCGAGGTGACTGCGTGCGCTGCGCGCGAGTGGTGGAGTGAAGTGGCGTGCGTGTGTGCAATGAGCGATTGGAGCACAAGTTAATTATTTGTCATCGATGCCATCAGCTGTTTATAACGTGCGATGGAAATTCCTATTAGAACAGTGGCAAATGCAAAACGGGGGGTGGGGGGTGGGGGGTGGCGGGTGTAGTAGGGTACACGTTCTTAGACGCACCTGTGATGGTGTTCGTGACGGATTACAAAGACAAACACACGCACATCGAATCTCAACAACAGCCGACTATCGCCACGAAAGTTCTGACGAAAAACGAGAACAGACCAAGATCGCCCCGCATAGCCTTAAACAGACTGTCGGGACAAGTACTGTCAGCGAGGATCAATGAAGCCGACGCGGCACACGAGTGGGACGGTGGCCAGAACCACGCCCGGACGCCTTTGTCTCCCTAGTGCCGATGTTTTACCCGCCGCACCAGGCACTCATTTTAGGCTGAGTCAACCTAAGACAGGCTCAGGAACGGTTCACACATCATGTTCCAACGAATGCAAGTTATCCCGTGGCTGGTTCGTGGGGTACAGAGCGCAGTGCGCTAACCGTTGCGCCACCGCTCCACAGCTCTCAAAGCCAAAGACCCCCCTCCCCCACACACATATACCCTTAACAGACTGTCGAACCAAGTGCTGTTAGTAGCGAGTAGAACCTATGAAGGCCGTCGCGGCACACGAGGAAGTGGGTGGCCAGCAACACGCCCGCGAAGCGCTCTCTCTCTGCGCTTCCAGTGTTCAGGGGCCTGCTGAAGGCACGACTCCGGCTAGAGCACTCGTACCACACACATGTCGGTGATGTGCACGTCTTCTTCGAACGCTGGGGAGCCGGAGAAGCCTTCTGTACCAGCGTGGAGGACACCCTCCTCGTGTTCACCTTCTGAAGCGCTCGCTCGTCACCGTGGCGTGCGCGATGACCACCACCACCACCACGTGACTTTTCTTTCGTGTTGTGCGCGCTGCATTTAGCGCCACAGCGCGTGGATTTATAGCGATTATTTGTTTTCTGGTGACTTTGTGCATTTCCTATCGGAATCGCCTCCAGTGCTGTTGCTGCTGGCGGCAATAAAAGTTGTTTAAAAAGTCAAAAAGTCTCTCTCTTACACACACACATTCTCACGCTCTCCCACAACACATGCACACACACAAACAAGTGTAGCTGTACGGTATTGATCTGTCGTTGACAATGCACGCATTCATTTAAACTCGGTTCCGATAATGCGATATCATCCACGCAGCGTGATAAAGAGTGCTGCAGGAGCATTGGACGCGCGGGGTAAATCATTTACAGCCACCTCCGTCAGTCCACTGCTGGATGAAGGCATCCACTGGCTGTGTGACCATACTTCACCACGCCGCTCAGACGCGTGTGCTAGAGTTGCATGTGCGCCACCGGTAGGGAGCTTTGTCCAAGTCACGAACTTTGCCGGTTTACTCAGAGTGATTTATAGTATATTCTGTAAAGAGTTTAGCTGCCAGACCTCATGCGATGTGGAACTTGAAGCTGACACTGTTGGACTGGTGAAACCAGTCGACTTCGATTATGCGGTGCCCAAATGAGAACATTCAGATGACCACTTTTGTCAAGGTTACGTCCCATAAGCCTAGACTACAGTTGTGCCGCATTTAGGGCTTTGCAGCCCATTCGGAAAAGAAAAAGGGAAACAAACGCCGTGATGATTCGTTCTCGCGACGGGGACCACCGAGTGGTGTTGGAAGTGCCCCCACATTCGGTGCAGAGAACGTGGGAACGAGTCGTATGGACCATCCCTCCCATAGCCACGCGTGCGTGAAGCGCACTGGGGTGGCCTTATAAGTTGACAAAGATCACCCGTATAGCCTAAACATAATTTTTTTTTGGGGGGGGGGGGGGCAACGAGTAGCACGTGTACGCCACGGCACACGAGGGGGTTGGGTGGCCAACACGACGCCTGGCCGCCTTTGTCTCCCCAGTGCTCATGTTTACACACCGCACTAGCTACTGATCTGAGGCTGAGTCAACTTAGGGGAGGCCCAGAACCGGTTCAGATAATCGTCACTGGTGTTGGCCGTGAGCGGGAATCGAACTTGGATCGCCGGGTTCGTAGCGCAGCGCGCTAACCGATGCTCCACCGCTCTCCTCCCCACATGCACACACACACTTACATATCCGCCTCAGCCCCCATCGCTCCGACACCGATCGCAAAAAACACGGAGCGCTCTATGTGTGTGTGGGGGGGGGGGGGGGGGGGGGTGGCGCAGTGGTTAGCGCTACACTGCGCAGCGAACCCGGTGAGCCGAGTTCGACTGCCGCTCACGGCCAACACCAGTGACGATTATTTGAACCGGTCCTGGGCCTCTCCTAAGTTGACTCAGCCTCAAATCCGTAGCCAGTGCGGTGTGTAAACATCGCCAAAACGGATACAAGGCAGTCGGGAATGGTGCTGGTCACCTACCCCGTCGTGTGCCACAGTGCCAGCCATCATAGGCTCTCGCTGACAGCACTCGCCCCAAAAGTATGTTAAGGCTATACGGGGGATCTTTGTCTTTGGGTGTGCGAGCAGGAGAGCGCCGAATGTCAATGCGAGCGGAGTGGGAGGGCGCAGGGAGGCAAGGCTAAGGGATATGGAAAGGGAAAGAGCTGGGAGCGAGAGAGAGAGGGGATGCGAGAGAGAGAGAGTGAGCAAGTGAGAGATGGAGAGAGAGGGGAGGGAGGGGGGTAGATTGGATGAAGGGTGGGGGAGGGTTGAGACGTGCTAGCGAGGCTGTCGCGGGGAGGAGCGGTGGGGGTAAAGCAACACTGGGAGGAGGAGGGGAGGGGAGCCGCAGCAGGAGGAGGGGAGGGAGATGAAGCATTGGGTTGGTCGCTGGGCAGCTGTCCCGGCGCCTTCCGGGCAGAGTATAAGCGGGCGGGAGGGAGCTGCAAGGAGGGCGGGCGGTCTCTCGGCGCACTTCATAAGGGAACTTTTGAGTCGACCTCTCCGGGAAATGTTGGTGCCGCACGGCCGGGAGGGGGAGAGAGAACCATGCTACCGGCTGCGCTGCGCCCATCCAGCGCAGCGTCGCACGCAGCCGCTCTGCTCCTAGCGCTCACGCTCCTCACCTGCGCCTCCAACCCCGTCGCATCTTACTTCGGGTAGGGCGCGGGCGACGGTTGGTCCCAGCAAGCGCGCGCGTGTGCGCGTGTGTGGCGTGTGCGCGGCGTTTGTGTGGCGTGTGCGCGTGTTTGTGTGGCGTGTGCGCGTGTTTGTGTGGCGTGTGCGCGTGTGTGTGTGTGGCGTGTGCGCGTGTGTGTGGCGTGTGTGCGTGTGTGTGCGCGCGTGTGTGCGTGTGTGTATGTGCGCACGTGTGTGTGCGCGTGTGTGTGTGCGTGTGTGTGTGCGCGCGTGTGTGCGTGTGTGTGCGCGTGTGTGTGTGTGCGTGTGTGTGCGCGTGTGTGTGCGCGTGTGTGTGCGCGTGTGTGTCTGCGTGTGTGTGTGCGCGTGTGTGTGTGTGCGCGCGTGTGTGTGCGCGCGTGTGTGTGTGCGTGCGCGCGTGTGTGTGCGCGTGTGTGTGTGCGCGTGTGTGTGTGTGCGTGCGCGCGTGTGTGCGTGTGTGCGCGTGTGTGCGCGCGCGTGTGTGCGCGCGTGTGTGTGTGCGTGTGTGTGCGCGTGTGTGTGTGTGCGCGTGTGTGTGTGCGCGTGTGTTCCCGCGTGTTTGTCCGCGTGTTTGTCTGCGTGTCTCCGTGTCTCCGCGTGTCCCTCGCGGGGCGCTCCAAGTCACGCACGCGCGCGCTTTGCCAGTCGACGTTCGTCGGATTACGAAAAGGGATCGGTGTTTTGAGTGACGGCAGCGTGAGTGCTGCGCCCGTGTTTGTGTCGGGATGTACGGGTATGTAATGCGCGTGCGTCGCGATCATCATCAGCAGCAGCAGCCATGGTCGATCCACTGCTGGATGATGCGCGTGAGTGTGTGCGTGATTTGTTGTTTGAGGGTGGGTGGTTCGAGGCAGCGCCGCGCGCGTTCTACCTCGGCGCGAGGGGGGAGTCGGGAGGCGCTCATCAGCTCCCCCGAAAATTCACCGCGCGCACACAGCGCCGGCTGGCCCCTAACCACCACGACGACTACGAGAGAGACTTGCAACAACAATAAAAAATCATTAACTGCCGCGGTTAATATTTAATATTTTTCACACTGGTCCCAGTTTTTTGTTTCTTCTTACTCTTCTTCTCCTCCACACAAATGTAACCGGTGGAAATACGGACGTGGTCATTTGCTCAACCCTGTGCGTAACAAACGGTCACCGCTCATCACCATCATCATTGGCCACGGTCAATCCACTGCCGGATGAAGGCCACCCCCCCCCCCCCCCCCCACACTCTCTTCCTCAAAGCCGCCGCCGTGAACCTACGCACGAGCCTAACCCAACCGCTCCATCTCCGCGGTGTACGTTCCGTGGCGCTCTCTCGGACGCGTTCCGTTCATTGGCCGCCGCTATCCGATTGCCAAGCAAAAGCGTGCGCCGGTTTCGTGTCGTCTTGAGCAGCGCGGGCATTTAAATTATGTGGAGCGACAGACAATAAAAAAAATCGAGCCGTGAAACTGTTCATCATCGAACGTCGGTTATGCGAAACGGAGGAGGGAACACCAACAACGCAGACCCCCCCCCCTCAATCCACAACCCCCCGTATAGCCTGAGCGGACTTTTGAAGCGAGTGCCGTTAGCGAGTGGCACCTATGAAGGCCGGAAAGGCACACGAAGGGGGTGGTTATCAAGTATCGCGTGCGGCCGCCTTTGTCTCCCCCGTGGCGATGCTCACACATCGCAACCAGGCAGTAATTTGAGGCTGAGTCGACCTAGAGGAGGTCCCAGGACCGCTGCGGATAATCGTCGCCGTTGTTGGCAGCCGTGAGCGGGAATCGAGCTCGAGTCGACGGGTTCGTAGCGCAGCGCGCTCGCAGCTACACTGACGCTCGCCCACCATTGAAAGACCACCACCACTACCAACACCACCACCACTACCAACACCACCACTACCACCACCACTACCACCGCACCAACCTAAACAACCTCTCACCTCGCGCTCTATTCACGCGGCGAAGCAACGCGGGTTCAAAGTGTACAAATGCAATGATTTACCGTTGATCGCAGAGTAATGTCCATCACACACCTCCTCCCCTCCTCTCTCTCTCTCTCTCTCCACCACCACCAACCCCACAACCACCTTCGCTCCCCACTGCCCCCCGCCCCCGCCCCCCGCTAACCAACACAACCACGACCAAACCCATCAACCCCACCTCTCCGTCTTACCCCGACGGGGTTTACAGATTAACGGGCAAGGAACCCCTCTCCGCGCTCATCTCGGGGCCGGAGGCGGCTCACGCGGGTCCCGTACCCCGACCAGGCCGCCTCAAGGGCTGCGAGCGTCTGCAGCTGGGGGGCGAGAGGAGGCGCCTGTGCAGGAGGGACCCCGGCGTCGCCGATGTCCTCCTGGGCGCGGCCGAGTTGAGTGCAGCCGAGTGCCGCGCGCAGTTCAGGGGCGAGCGTTGGCAGTGCGAGCTCGAGGAGCGCTACCGCCTCAACATCCTCAAGCGAGGTACACCGCCAAAGTACAAAGATCCCCCACTCCCACCTCCCCACACGCGTCTATAGCGTCCATAGACTCGTTTGGGGCAAGTGCTGTCAAGTGAGTGGCACCTGCGAAGGGCCGAACACGGCACACGAGACGACGGGTGGCCAGCAACACGGCCGGCGATTTTTCACCATAATCGCCGTTGTCACCATCAGCGCCATCATCAGCGTTGTCACCATCAGCGCCATCATCAGCGTTGTCACCATCAGCGCCATCATCAGCGTTGTCACCATCAGCGCCATCATCAGCGTTGTCACCATCAGCGCCATCATCAGCGTTGTCACCATCAGCGCCATCATCGCCGTCGTCACCATCGTTATGACCAGCATCACCATCATCACCGTCGTCATGAACATCATCATCATCACCATCGTCATCACCACCATCATCACCACCATAATCATCATCACCACCATCCCCATTACCATAATCATCATCACCACCACCATCATCACCATCGTCATCACCACCATCATCGTTGTCGTCACGTGGTTTCTACCGCTTGTTGATCGGCGTGATGTCTCGACGTTTCGTTCCACCGTTGACCTTCTCCGATAACGTTTTATTTCTTTATTTTATCCACGTGCTGGGAGCTTCCTTGAGAGACTGAATCGAGCGTCTCACTTGAGCGTCGGGAAAGTGAGCGGCTCGATTCAGCTGTACAAATAAGGAAGTTCTCAGCCGGCACGTGTTGCGAAACGTCGGACATCATATCATGCAGCACGTCTCGAGACGGCGCCATAGAAAAGGAGTGTTCTTAGATAATAGCAAAGATCGAGCGGTGGCGCTGTGGTTATCATAAAGCACTCTATGAACCAGGCCACTTGAGTTCCAATCCCGGACACGGCTATCATCAGTTGTAAATGATACCTGAACAGATCTTACCCACCCACCCACCCACCACCACCACCACCAACCCCGCTCACCCTACCCGTGTCAAAACCCCGTAGTGATGAGCACGGTGAATTATGTTGAAACATATTCTTTGGGTCTTTCAGTTAAAGTCACGTCGATAGGTTCAAAGAAAATAATAAAATAAAAACTGCGACGTTTCGATCACATCAGGATGACGACCGCTTGCTTGCGTTGTGATCGAAACGTCGTAGTTTTTTGTTGTTATTATTTTCTTTTAACCTATCTACGTGACTTTACCGAAAGATCCAAAGAATATTAATTCCTTTTGTTCAAACAACAACAACAACAACAACCCAAAATCGACAATTGCATTGGGAGATCATCCCGAAGGGTGTTGACTTCGGGGCCGTGGTACATTGCGATGTCTATTGTTATTCTGAAGGTCAAATTAAAAAAAAGTCGCTGGGTAAATACGTACTTGCAGAGCGTGGTGGGCTTGCAATGATACTGCAGCTGGCACCACTTGCCACGGCTAATACTGTTGCTTGTGCTGCCAGTAGCGTAGCGTGCCACGAATGAATGACTGCTGCTGATGTTGCTGTTGTTGCCGCTGATCCTTTTTGCCGTACGCGGGTTTCCCTCGCTCTGTGCGGGTTCGGTTAGTGTTGTAATGTACGGCACCTTTGAAATGGGGGCTCGTTTGTCCATACTTCACCACGCTCGTCAATGTCTGTTTGGTGAAGTGGCCTCGCGGGGTGGGGCGAGGGGGGGGGGTGGATTGGCGAGTGGCCGAAAGCGCTAACCACCGCGCCACCGCTCCACTCCACGACGAATTATTGCGGGAATCCTCCGCGTTGGGAGCGACACATTTGGCACCGAGTCGGGTTCCTTGCACAAATGTTGCTCCGCCGAGTGGAGGTTTTTTTTTCTTCCATTTTATATCCGGCGAGCCGCTCCTACGATGGATGGAGTTTGTTTTTATTTGCCCGCAAGTGACGCACGGTTGGGTTGGTCGAGCTATCGCATCCCGCGTTCGGGTGACGAATTGTCCACGCTCACTCCCCGAGGTCGATAAATGCGTACCGGGTTTGTTGGAGGTCGATAGTGGTCCGTGCTGTTACTATTGTAGAGCGCTTCCACCAACACTATCGCTAAAATTAACATTACTGTTACAATTGCTATGGCCACTACTTCTACCATTACTATTACCACTACTGTTACTATTAGCATTACTATTACCATTGCCACTACTATTACCATTGCCACCATTATTACCACTAATATTACCACTACTATTACTGTTACCATTGCCACTAATATTACCACTACTATTACCATTGCCACTATTATTACCACTAATATTACCACTACTGTTACCATTACCACTAATATTACCACTACTATTACCACTACTGTTACCATTACTATTACCACTATTATTACCATTAACACTACTATTGCCACTACTATTACCACTGCTGTTATAACGACTATTACTATTACTACTATTACCACTAGGACTACCATTACTCTTACCACTACTATTACTACTATTACCACTACAATTACCACAACTATTACCACTACTTCTACCACTACTATTACCACTAATCTTAACACTACCACTATTACCACTATCGTTAACTCTGCCACGACTATCACCACACATAAAGTACGAATCGTACTACAGTACTGCTATCACGATCACCACTGTTGTTACCACCGTACTGTTTTACCATAACTACGACCAATAACTAGTGCTGGGCCACCACGATCGCTCCCGCTTGTGCTTTCGCAATAGTTACTACTGTGACCACATAAGTCATAGTTCGTGGCTGCTACCACGATGAATCTTGCCACGACAGCACGCCACAAAGATAACCTTAGGAGACTGTTGGGGCAAGTGCTGTTAGCGACTAGCGCCTATGAAGGGCCGGCACGGCACCACGCCCGGCCGCCTTTGTCTCCCCAAGTGGCGAACGTTTAACACACCGCACCAGGTACTCACCATCACTGCGAGTACCTTGCTGCTGTGCCGACTGATCCGGTGAGAGCGCCCGTCCCCTGCTGCGAGTTGGCATCGATCCGGTGAACCCAGTTCGATCCCCGGCCACGTTACATCAGATGTGCGTACTTGGAGGGTCCGTGTGCCTGCGTGTGCCTGCGTGTGCCTGCGTGTGCCTGCGTGTGCCTGGGGGTGCGGTGGCGCGGGGGTTAGCGCAACTACGCTACGAACCTGGCGAACAGAGTTCGATTCCCGCTCACGATTATCTGAACCGGTTCTGGGCTTCTCTATGGTCGACTCAGCCTCAAATGAGTACCTGGTGCGGTGTATCAATATCGCCACGAGGGAGACGAAGGCGCCCGGACGTGGTGTTGGCCACCCATCCCATCGTGTGCCGTGCCACCCTTCATACGTGCTTGCTAACAGCACTCGCCCCAACAGTCTGTGAAGGTTATACGGGGGATCTTTGTCTTTGTGGGGGTGCGTGGGCTACGGAGTAAGCAGCTACTCCTTAGTTTGCTCACTGCGCTGTACAGTCATCCCGACGACCTGAGTTAAATCCCAGGCCCAGATATAGCTACCAAACATCAGTAGGCACGTCTTAATATAACCCGTTTTAGGCCTCCTCTGGGTCGACTCAGCCTCAAATAATTACTGTACAGTGTCTGCTGCGTGTGTGTTATCATGATCAGCACTAATGACACAAAGGCGACCGGGTGTGGTTATGGCTACACTTCCTCATCCTGTGTTGAGCCAGCCCTTAATAGGTGCTCGCTAACAGCACTGACGGAAGGAGCGCAAATGTGTTTCGACCAAAATAAAATAAAAACTAACGTTTCAGTGTCTCCCGTCTCACGAACGTGGGCCGGCACTCGTGTTATCGCTTTACCGGTGGCTTTACACCCATGGCGGAAATGCCACGTTCCCACGACGGGGGCCAGTCCATCCATAACAACCACTCACTGCCATAGCTTCCCTAAAAAATGGCAATCGTTTTTTTATTGAGCCAAGAGCGATTGTGGACCCTCGCGTCTGCGTGGTGTCTGCGGTGATCAGGATGAGTTCCAGCACAAACTGTGCACACCCGTACATAGCAAAGCAGGCCACTGGCTAACGAATAATAAATAACTTGCGACGGTAAACGTTGCATATCTGCTACTCTGGGAAGCAGTGGCGCCGTGGGTTAGCAGAAGCCGGGGTCGATTTACGGCCCCGGCCTTACACCAGTGGCTCTTCATGTCTAAACTGATCCGAGTCATTCCGGTCACTTTTCTAACCGGTACTTAAGTGTGGTCAGACAACTCATCCAACGGTAAACTTTCAGCCAGCAACAAGTTAACAGAGGTGGCCGCTCATTCGTATTGTATAGTTATCTGTGCGTAGTTGTGCGTGCGTTATTAATTCATCATAGCCCGTCATGCTCTGTCAGCGTGGTCGACTACGATGCTCGCGCGTCATAAGCAGTGTGTGCGCTATAGGATTTCGTGTACGCTACGCAATGCGTGTGATCGCGATCAGCCACGGTCAAATCCACTGCCTCCCTCAAAACACCGCCAGCTCTCGCGATCCCGCGATGTTATATGTGCATGTTGAACTTCTTTCGCACCGCGCGTGACCAACCGTGCTCATCGGAGGTTAGCACGGTTGGATAAGCAACGGATTAATCTATCTCGCATCATATACCTATTTATATGCTTCCGCTTATTAAATGTTTAGTTACTTTAGTAAATGATTTTTTTAATATATCTATAATATAATTTTTATCCTGAGCGTCTGCTGCTGCGTCCTGTACAGCGCTTTAATATCCGTGATGAAAAGCACTATATAAATGTCATTATTATTATCATCGCGGGAACTAATTTATTCGCTCCTTCTCCCCCGTAGATGTCCTCTGGGACGCATTCCCGAACCTTGGCTGCCACTCCGTTGTTATTATTACTACCATTGTCCATAGTCCATTATTCCTCCTTCAGATGAGCCCCTTTTGCCCAAGGCCATGGCAATATCCAATGTGTGAAGAACAAAAAATAAAACAAAACCAAAGCCGGACCTACATAATCCATTGACGCACAATGAACACTAGTGTGTGTGTGTGTGATACACG